ACCTCAAGTCATTAATTAAAAAAAATAAAAAATATCACTGTTTTTTTTTCTTTTTTAAACATGAAAAGTTATGAAAAAATAAGAAATTATTTCAATTAATGAGAGTCAAATGGGTAAAACCCCTAAATCCACTCCTCAAATAAAAAAGTAAGGATAGATATGTTCTTTAAAAAAATAAAAGGATAAATTATTCATTTAAATTATAAATCAAGATAAATTACTCATTTTTTAACATGTGATATTAAAATTTTGTTTGCTATGTAATTATTTTTTTAATGAAAATTTAACGTTATACATTAAAAAATAAGTAATTTATCTCGATTTATAATTTGAATGAATAATTTTTTCCTGTATATTTTTAAGAGACGGATCCATCACTACCCTCTTATTTGAGCGGTGGATTTAGAGGTTTGCCTGAGTCAAATTCTTAATCAAATAAAGGTTAAATCCCCAATTTGGTTCCTAAACTATTATATGAACCCTTCATTTGTTTTTTGAACTAAAAAAAATTTTGATTTGGTCCTTGAATTATTGTACGGATCCTCAATTTAGTCTATACTATTTATTGATTTAGCTCCAAGTTAATCATTTCGTACAAAAAACAACTGACATGTCCATACTTAACGATGAAAATTAATTATTTAATGATAAAAAAAATAGTTATTTAACAATTATGTGTTACATTAATAACAAAATATGTTAATTTTTTTTATATGGAAGGACCAACGTCAGTTGTTTTTTTATATAGAATAACCAACATGAAGTAAATTAATAAATAATATGGATCAAATCGAGATCCTATAATAGTTTAGGAATCAAATTAAAAAAATTTTTAATTTAAAAATCAAATCAAATATTAAATCAAAGATCTATATAGTAGTTTAAAGGTGAAATTAAAGATTTAACCTCAAATAAACCCTAACATTGAGATTTAAAAACCAACAGCTGCCCGAAGGCCCGGTTCTATCACCGTTGTATTTTGGAACTGTGGGCGTAACCTGGATTGCATTTATGTGCCGTCCCCACTAAAAAAAAAATCTCATAAAAAGTTAAAAACTTCTTCGCGCGGCCACGTGTGAGAAATTCTTGCAAATTTCGTATATGGACGATATCACTGGATTGAAGTCTTATTCGTAGTACTGAATTTTTTCTTTTAATGGTAAATTCGGAGTACTGAATTGCAACCTTTAAAAGTTGGTGAATTTACTTGTTCCGGTTTAATTTTAATAAATAATTTAGTAATTTTTATATTTTATTGTGTTTATTTTTAAATGTTTTTAAATTTATTTATTATTTATTATATTTAATTTAATTTATTAACTATTTAATAA